TTTAACTAATTCTCATAATATATCTATTAGAGACGGTTCTGGTCCAACAGCAACATGGCTTTTTGCTTCTGAAGTTTTCTGTATTATATTTAAACTTCAGTGAAATTGGAGAAGTTAGGTAAATTGAGGCAAGTTGAAGCTTTGTGTAACTTCCCATAGGGAAGCCAGAAGTGCAAGAACAGCCGCCCTATAGTTGAATTACAAACTAGTCACCAACAAAATGGAATTTCATCTAAATATGGATTATAGAGAAGTTCGAATAACTGAATGGACTTGACATTGCTAGGAACTTCTTGTTCTCCCTACTAAAATGGCTACCTCAAATGCAGGGAGACCCACACTTTGTATGCATCTGTATTAATTTGATTTTGTTCTCTGTTCAGTGAGTGTATTTTGAATCTTACTGTGAAATGTAAAACACATAGAAAAGTGCTCACAACCAAATTCAACTCAGTGATTTATCCCAAAATAAATAGCTTATCGTTATCACTTCCTTGCTTTTCCTTATATATTCCCACGTAAACATTAAGTGTGTGTATTCTTCACTTTGTCTTTGCTGCTAATTGAAGTTCAGCACTAGCAAGTAGGACCCTAAAGTCCTTTACAAGAGATGCTGCATTGTTTCTTAGACTTCTCAGAGTGATCATTTTTAACATTCTTCTTTGAGTCACGTTGCAGGAATCATCGGGGCCTGTGAGATGCTTAATGACTTAAGTGCCCCAAATTATCAACTTCTCACTTGGTTTTCTGTAAAATTGAACATCTAAAATATTATCTGTATTTCCAGTATTACTGTTTTCTCCTATTTACCTTATTTGTCGGTTTCCCCTTTCTTCTTGATGTCTCCTTACATTGATGTTCCACTACCATCTATCTCTTACTGAATCAGCGGAGACCCCTTGATTAAACTCATGCATAGCTCTCCACTGCCTTCTTGTTTACATTCTCCATCCCCTGATAATTCCAGATGACGTTTACAATTCCGTTTTTCAACCTTTGTAACCCCAGGGCTGATTTCTTCTATAGGATAATCCTGAAGTAACTTGTGCCCCAGATGTTGAATTTACTGTGGTCAACTTGATGCATTTAGAATGCATTTTATGATTTCTTCCACTTTGCCTTTGACCCCGTTCCCTCTTAACTAGCTTGTATGCTGGTTCAGGGGGCACAGAGCTCCCCAAATGGCCATTGGAAGGAATGAGCTTTTACATGGGTGCTTAGGGACAGTGGCTAGAAATTAACTATGGGTTTCTGAAATTTGCCCTTTCTCTACCTTTTTCTTCATTTTGTTGATACTGTTGAATTCAGTCTGTGAGTCCCATGAACAAGCAGTTTATCACACATTCAGCCATAACTCTCCTTCTTTTGCCAGAATTTGGTAATTTCTACCAAAATGAATGTTCTTGTGAGGAGTCTTGGTTATGAGGAACAAAATATTGTGTAAATTAGCTGACCTAAGAAGGGGAATGTGGTGCACAGAAAGAGAGTTCTTTTGGAATCCAGGGAAGGAAAGGAAGCAAACCCTGGATCCACCCAGACTCGCCCTGCTGATTGGAAAGCTGGTAGAAATCAAGGTCGCTTCCAGAAACCAAGAAAACCACTGTTCCTCCCCGACCCTGCCCCCCCCCGCCCCCCATGTGGTCGTCTCTCCTTCCTTTCCTCTACCTCTCTCTCTACTTCTGTTCAGTCCTCTCTTTGGGAACTGGCTTCCTCTGCTTCCTTGCAGCTTTGCCCTTCCTGGTCCCAAAAAAGGTCTTCCTCAACATTTAAGCCTACATAACTTTTTAAGCTCTTGTACTTAGCCACTAACTGACCAGTGGCTTAGTGTCCTAATTACAAAATCCCAGGATAAGAACCTTAATTGTCCTCTTTTTTTTTTCTTTTTCTTTTCATTCAGTCCAAACAATTTATAGATGAGCAGGAGGTTAGTTGTGGTGGTTGGAGCTCTACTGATCCAGTTATTATCACTGATGATGATGAAAGTGGCTGTGGAAATGTGATTATGCAGACAGACTCTTTGGAAGGGTCTGAACTCTTGTAAACTACTGTAATTAATACAATTAGAATTGTAAACTAAGAAGGATAATTTTTATTCATCTCTATCCTTCAAATATGGATCGGGCCCACTGCAATAGATCAAGCAGGAAAAGAATTAGCAAATTCCTCCTAGAATAGTCTTATACCCAAGGTATCTACCACTCTTACAGTATAGAGAGAATGGTGAGCAATATGGATCTTTGCATGTGTCATGCACGACATTAAGTATGAAGATATCCAAATATTTTACCAATTATCTTGACTATGTGAACTGCCAGCATATTTTGATTTATATCAAGATCATACTCCCATGTCATTACATATTAGTGCAAAACTAGACTGGGGGAGCTTCTCTTGAAACATATTGTCATTTGTAACAACAGGTTTTTTTGAGAAGACTAAGTCACACACGCAATACTCGAATATAATTGAGAATACCTTGGACTGTCCAGCCTAACTGAAGGAAAGATTTCCTACCAGAAACGCTCTGTCAGTCATCAGAATATTTCAAGGGCAGCAACCATTATCATCAATTTACAGTGACTTTGTGAGCCCCCAAATTAAAGTGCTTTCATCTTGTGAGGTGGTCTCCATGGGAGATGGCTGAGAGTAGATAGCCTTGAACCTGAATGGTGGGTGAACTGCATTGCCCTAGAGAAAGAAGTTGGTCCCAGTAAAACAAAGGGCCAAATGTTATTTGAATGAGCATTAAGAACATTTAGTTAATTGGGATGAAGTACAAGTGTCTCTTATTAGAAAACTGTTACTACTCCTAAGGTGTGATCTATGAATCTCACTTGAAGTCGTCAAATAGGTGATTTATTTTGGTCTGATCACAAATCTGTGGGAGAAAGGCAGCTGCTGGAGCCCTTCACTGGCCTCACTTGTGCGTGTGTGTGCCTGTGTGTCTGTTTTGTTTTTTGAGGGGAGGCGGTGAACATTGAATTAGGAGTCCCGAAGACCCAGGTTCCATTCTGGATTCTGCTGTGACCTTGGGTGAATCATATAACTTCTGAGCCTTGGTGCTAGAAGCCCTGCAGACACAGAGGAAAGCACTGTAGAGTGTTCAAAGTGCTATAAAATGCAAGGGTGAATTATTAGTTCTATTAACTATGTGGGTTAAATTGGCTCATGAAGGGGATGCCTGGCTGGCTCAGTCAGTGGAGCATGTGACTCTTGATCTTGGGGTCATGAGTTCAAGCCCACGTTGGGTGTAGAGATTATATAAATAAACTAAAAAAAAAAAAAAAATTTTTTTTAAATTGGCTCATGAATAAAAATAAATTATGTTGGAATAACTTTGATCCCCTCCACCTCAAAAAGTAGATTAAGTCTTCATGGTGCCCAAAGAATAAGCTCCTAGAAAGCAAGGTTTTATAACGTCTAATCACTGTACTAACTTCATGTCTATCTCTTTTTAATGCTGCCTCTTAGTATCCGCTCCATTCAACATTCAATTAGCATGCCTGCTATGAGGTAAAGTATATTTTTACAAAATGTACTTGCTCTTATGCTTTCTTATTCTTTATTTAGATGTTTAACTTGAACTGTTCTGAAGTAGGGACCTGGGGTTCTGCTCTAAGTAAGCTGCGCATCCACACTGTGTCAGTATTCAGCCGCTCTTCCTATGATGTTAAGATGAGTGCAAGAGATCCATTAAAGATTTGTGATTAAAAAAAAAGAATTATCTCTATTGCATTTTGTAAACCCATAAAATTGTTTCATATCTTTAATCTGCTTCATTGGAAAAGTGAACACGACTCATCTAATAAAGCTGCTTTCGCCCAGCTTGTGTAAAAGGTGTCCCACCACACCTGTCTGCATTAGCTTTAGTTGCTCCACTTTTCTTCCATTTCTGCTTCCCTCATCCCGTTGTGACATTTGGAGCCAACTGCGATTTAATTCCACAGTCCGCTTTCATCAGGAAACACGTGCAAGTGGTGTATGTTATTACCGCATTTAACCTCTCTAGAGAGGCAGAGAGTTTTTAACAATATATGCTTGGCTTAACCTTCAGTATTCATCAGAACTATCTGGAGAGCTTGTTAAACCCCCTGCTTGCTGGGCCCCACCTCTGGTTTCTGATTTCTGTAGGCCTGAGGTGGGACCTGAGAACTTGCATTGCCGACAGCTTCCCAGGAGCTGCTGATGCATCTGGGGCCCCACCCCTTGCGACTGGCTGCCCATCACCACTGTGGGAGGGAGGAGACCCCTTGTTCCCTTCTTCACCTTTTTCATCTAGGTAATAGGAAGGATATTCGAGGTCCGGTGGATAGTCTAGAAGTTTTGGAAACCCAGATGTGAACAACATAGGAGCTATGATCTTCCTTAATTAGTATGGATGAATGTGAAGGCGTGGGAGAGGCTTCGCCTGGGCTCAGAGAGCTCTGTCAGCTGGGGCAGCCTTGTGATGCAGACAAAACCACCTTTCTTCGTGTCTCCCTTCCTTTTGGTCTCTTTCCTCGGCTCTAATGCTGCTCCCTGGGAACCAGGATCCCTGTTTTGGAACGTTACGTGGTCTGCTTGTCCTGTTTGGGGATGTGGGTTCGTGTAGGACTCTTGCAGGGCAACATGGGAATTTAAACTTGACCTTTAGAGTCTAGTACCTTCACCAAAATTAAAGTGGCACGACTAGATGGTTGAAGTGACAGAACTGATGTTTTACCTGCCTTTGTTCTCTCTCCTCACACATGCACTTGACTCTGTTATCCCATATGTCTGAGACAGGCTGTTTGTGGAACTGAAAGCATTGTTGTAGAAATCTTAGACCAGAAGTTGATCATCCTACCTAATAATGCAGATTTGTGTGTATGCCTGCACACATATGTACAGTTAAATATGTCTTGTCTCTTTGTTGATTGAGAATAATGGCGAAAAGGAATACAGTCAACTAATGATGTTTGCAAAACTGGTGAGTTTTTGTTAAGTGTTTGTAACATAACTCTTTTTCATTCTCTCCATAGAAACTCCCCAACTTTCAAATCATTTGAAGAAAAGGTTGAAAACTTAAAGGCAAGTAGAGATGAATAGTGATGTCTTACTTGGTACCTTAAATTTTTTTGCTGTGGGTAAATTATTCTCATTACTCTTTCTTTCTAAAATTATTTAAAGAGCTTTAATAACTTTATTCTCTACATTATTATGGGTGATACATTCTCTTTTAATCAGTTTTTTGAGTGTATGTTGTAGCATGGCAGATGCTAAATGCTGAAAGGAAATGTATAATTTCAAAAGCAGTGTAGTACTTGAGAACTGTGTGCGACTCAAATACTTTTATAACCAGATAAAATTTAATATAAATTTTATTGTAGAACATTAACAAGAACATTATAAAAGCACAAAAAATAACACACAGAAACATTGGTCATACCACCTAGAGTCAGTGATATGTATGTAGTAGGACTACACCTTTGTGCTTTAAGAAAGAATTAACCAAATACAACATATACATTTTCCTATGCCATTAAATATTCTTCCTCAAAATTATATTTAATGGTTGCTTGCATGTACCCTATGACAGGTATTGTTTGTTCAGTCCTTTAAGATGTTTGTTCAAACATTTAAGATGATGATGATGATACCATGGTGATCATTATTGATGATTTATGGTTTTATTTTTTGATGGCTTTGATTTCAGTGAAGGTGGGCATTTTTCCACGACTAGCTTTATTAATTTGTAAATTGTATTTTTTTCAAGATTATACTCAAAATTATAAAATCATCAACTCTTAGGATCACAAGTGACCAGAAAGGTTGTCTAGTTCCCATCCACTGCCCAGCCTTCTCTACAGAGTTTGTGCAAAGCCAGTATTTCCTTTCTTCTTAAACTAAATCTGATAAGTACTATAGATGTTTTTAAGGATTAAAGGCATTATCTTTTTTTTTTTTTTTTAAATATTTTATTTATTTATTTGAGAGAGAGAGAGAAACAGCATGAGAGGGGATAGGGTCAGAGGGAGAAGCAGGCTCCCCACTGAGCCGGGAGCCCGATGTGGGACTCGATCCCAGGACTCTGGGATCATGACCTGAGCCGAAGGCAGTTGCTTAACCAACTGAGCCACCCAGGCGCCCTAAAAGCATTATCTTAAAAGCTTTATATAAATCTGCTTAAAAACAAATACTCAGGGGACGCCTGGGTGGCTCAGTCGGTTAAGCGTCTGCCTTCGGCTCAGGTCCTGATCCCAGGGTCCTGGGATCGAGTCCCGCATCGGGCTCCCTGCTCTGTGGGGAGCCTGCTTCTCCCTCTGCCTCTGTCTCTCTGTCTCTCATGAATAAATAAATAAAATCTTAAAAAAAAAAAAAACAAAAACAAAAAAAACCAAATACTCAGATTTAGTCTTTCAGAACTGTAACTGAGTCACTTATTTCTAAATGCGTCTTTCTTAAATTGCAGAAGCAGGGGATGCTTATGGAAAGAAAGAAAGAAAACCAAACACTGTCCCATGACCTGGAGCTTTTTTCTTGCACAAACATGAATACACACGTTTTGTCTTTTTTTTTTTTTTTAAAGAGTTTATTTATTTATTTGAGAGAGAGAGAGAGAATGAGAGACAGAGAGCATGAGAGGGAGGAGGGTCAGAGGGAGAAGCAGACTCCCTGCCAAGCAGAGAGCCTGATGCGGGACTCGATCCCGGGACTCCAGGATCATGACCTGAGCCGAAGGCAGTCGCTTAACCAACTGAGCCACCCAGGCGCCCCACACCTTTTGTCTTAATACATTAATGTATAAACATTTTTTCAGAAAGGAATCACACTGCACACACAGTCCTATAACTTGTTCATTCAGACCCACTAGCATACGTGCTCTATGATCCTACAGACATGGGGACCTGTTCTTTTTACTCACTGATGCTTCTCAAGGGCCTAGAATAGTCCTTGGCACATTGAAGCTACTTAATACATATTTGATGAGCAAAAAATATATCCTAGTCGTTCTTCTAGGTCTGTATGAGACCTGCTTTATTCTTTTTAATGCCTAGTCATGTATTTGAAAACAAACTGTACATTGTAGAAGTCAAGGCTTACTGTAATTCGGTTCTCACTCTTTGAGGTCTATCGTAAGGCTCTCCTTGAAATCTGCGTTAAGCATTAGTTTTTGAAATGATTGGTTGGAAAACCAGACAACTGTATTCTTTTGACACTGAAGATGAGGAGAAACGTCCTGGTCATTTACTATATATTCTCCCTCCGAGTATTGATTCTATAAATTGTGGTGAAACTTGGCTTTTGAAACATGACTAGGTGCCATTCAGATAAAAAGTTGTAATTTTTTTTTTTAAAGATTTTATTTATTTACTTGACAGAGAGAGAGACAGTGAGAGAGGGAATATAAGCAGGGGGAGAGGGAGAAGGAGGCCCGCCAAGCAGGGAGCCCGATGTGGGGCTTGATCCCAGGATGCTGGGATCCTGACCTGAGCCGAAGGCAGATGCTTAATGACTGAGCCACCCAGGTGCCCCAAAACTTACAGTTTTTAAAAGTAAAGTTTATGAAACAGATATCCTCCCAAAGGACTGTAAAATATAGTTGTACACTTGGGATATAATTTTGCTAAATTACATTTATATTCAATTAAACATCAGGTCTACGTGTACTTTTAGGTTTGGATTTTGGATTGATTCATTGATCTGATTATTGAGCATTTGCCATGTGCCAGGGGTAGGCCCTGGAGATACCACAGTAATCAAGAGACAGAGACCCTTTCTGCAAGATGTGTAGACAGTTTAATGGCCAATGAAACTAAAGTGAGGTAAGGTGCCATGACTGGGAAACTCTGGGATGCAGTGGGGACCAGTACCAGGAATGTCTGACCTAGCCTAGGAGGGAAGGTAGGAGAGGGCTTCTCATAGGACACAATCATACAAATGGAGGTTTTTAGGTTGAGTGGAATGTTTGGAGCTTTGGAGCCCTTTTGAGGAATACCAGGAACTTCGCTGTGCTGTAGGTTAGTGAGCAGGAGATGAAGCTAGGGCGATGGGCAGGCCACACTAAAGAATTTGGACTTAGGGCAATGGGAAGCCTTTAAAAGATTTTAGACAATGTGGGTGGTTTATCCTGTGCATTTTAGAAAGATCACTGGTGCCCTGCAGATCTGAGGGGAGGAAGATTGGAGTCAGGAAGACTAGTTAGGAGGAAGGAGTTGTAATCCAGGCCAAAGATGGTGGTGGAGTGAATTAAGGTAGTGCTGATGTGATGGGTTGAGAGAGATTTAGAATTTAGAAACGGACAGCCCAAAAGTCAGTGATTGATTGGATGTGGCACAAGATGGGGAAGGATCAAGGATGACTCCCAGGTATCTGACTGGGCCAACTAGGTAGGTGCTACAGCCATTTAAAGTCTTAAAGAAGGCCTGCTTCTCCTTCTCCCACTCCCCCTGCTTGTGTTAATGCTCTCGCTATCTCTTTCTCTGTCAAATAAATAAATAAAATCTTAAAAAAAAAATAAAGTCTTAAGAATAGAGACCAGTTGTGGGAGGAGTTCAATGTTAGACATGTTGAATTGCAAGGGTCTTAATATTTTCCTCTAATTAAGACGTGTTTTAATAAATTTAATAAATATACAGTAGACACAAGTCATGCAGATTTCCCAAACAATTCAAAGATTCGGATGCGAAACCAAAGCGAGTGAGAAAAAATTTCAACTAAATTCCAACTGATAATGTGTTAAGATTGAACTACGAGCATCAAGTTAAACCTACTGTGAGTTGCATTGTGGGTTACTGACTGGTTTCCTAATGTTAACTCTCCTGTTGGTCAGTAAGGAGAGGTAACAGAGAGAGCATAGATATGTCGGTGTTATTAAGGATGAAGTGAAATAATAAGGGTTTTGAAAAGCATAAAGTATGATACAAATATAAGGCAGACCTATTCATGCAGACAGATGTTTATTGACAAAATTTCAGGCCAGATTTGGAGTAGTGTGTCACAAACTATAACTTGTCTAGAAGTCCCTGGAGACCTCTGTAGATGGGCGTGGGGAAGTTGGTCTGATCCTACATGTCTAACAAACTCCCAGGTGACGCTGAGTCTGTCTGGGGGTCCTTGCACCACACTTTAAGTAGCAGCGGGTTAAGAAATTTACACTGTAACTGGGAAAAATAGATATAATTCTTTCCTTTGTCATATTCACTATTTCTTGAATGAGTGTAGCTGAGTGAACAATCTGATGGAATACAAAGTGTTATCCAAATATAAAGAGACTTCGAATAGATATTTTAGAATAATAGGTCTTAGAAAGTTTTTTGGACAGATTTTTCTGGGAAGAACTATGAGCAGATGGGAAAAAAGAGGAGGGGTAGAATCTACCAATCTGAATATTTCCGCAGAGGAGCCCGCACGGTTTTCTTTATTAAACCGCACCAAAAACACTGCAACAGTACTGAATTCTGTACATATATGATCGTCACTGGGCTATTAGGTCCCGGATTGATTTGTTCTTCAAAGTAAAATTTGAGTTACTTTTTTGCAGAGTCAGCTGAGTTTATGTTTCATGATGTCTTGTCCTTTTTGAACTTTTTTTAAAGTCTAAAGTAGGGGGAACCAAGCCGGCTGGCGGGGATTTTGGAGAAGTCTTGAATTCAACTGCAAATGCCAGTGCCCCGGAGCCTCTTCCAGAACAGACGCAGGCGAGCCCATGAGGTCCTTACCTTTGTTCTGCTACCCACTGCCAGATGCTGCAAGCAAGATCCAAGCACATCTTGTCAACATTCGTTGCCGTGAATTTCCACCAGATGTGCTTTTAATTAGCTTTACATATTCATTTGACCAAATAGTTTGTGGGTTGAACAAAATAAAAGTATCTTCACTTCTGTTCCTGGGAAACACCCTTTAATGTGCATTTAAGGGCCCTGATTTAGGAAACACCATTATAAAAAACCACAGGTAATCCCTGGGGATCCTCATTAGAATGATCTCCGAAGCTTCAGGTTATCATAATTGCTTTCCTACTTTACAAAATTGCTCTGGATCTGGGATGCCACTTTGATCTTTGTCTTCAATATGATTTTCTTGTTTCCTTCTTGAACCTCTGTGTATTTGATTGCTAACTAAAATTTTCTTTAAAATTTCCTGAATCCTGGTTATTAAAAGTTTTGGCATAATTTTCTTTACCTCCGAGGGAAGAACGACCAGCTACAAAAAATATTTTTGAATAAGCATTGTTCCGATAGAAGGTATATCTTTTGTGTCTGAAGACAGCAGACTAAATAAATCAGATCTACATCCAATTTGTTAGTTTGGTAAGTGACAACGTGTGAGGTAGTTCAGAGTCCTAGGTAACTTGAGAGTGGAATCCTCACATCCTCGTCACCATTTGTGACAGTAACCATTTCAGTATATTTGTTATTATGCCACTTCTCTTAACTTACTTTTCATGAGACTGAATTTCTAGTTTCAGAGTAAGTTGCAAAATAACATTTTGAATCAGGCATATTGTAATTACCAGCAGGTTGAAATATGAACACTCTCATCACCTGTTCCATTCAAAAGCCTGAACGTTTTTTAGATCTCAGTAGCTGTAAAAATGCTAAGATCAATCACATTAGGGGAGACGTTGCTGTCTTCATTTAATTCATTTAGCACCATTTAAAAATAAGCACACGAAATTGTATGACTAAACTTGAAAAGATTTTACACTAAGGGTTGGTGGTAGGTAACTCCTGAGGATTTAATGCATTAATGAAAATCAACTCATTGTTTTCTACTTATTTGTTTTCATTGTGTTAGAAATTATAAAATGTAGACATTGCCCCCCTACTTTGAAAAAATGGCAGGGCTGAATGAACCAAAGCCTCTAGAAGTATCTGCATGGAGGCCACGGTACTCTCTTCTAATAGCTACTTACTCATCACTATTACCTTTTCATTATTCTGTGTGTGGTTATGGCCTATAATGTTGTATTTGTTATTTATCAAGTTGTGATTGTTTTAGTATTGTTTATGCCAAATGTTAATTGCCAAGCTTGGAGTGACCTGAGGCATTTTTTTTTTTAAAGCATGACTAGATTTAACTTCAGGATAAATTATCTTATGAAAACCAAATTTGAAAAGCCACAAGTGTTGATTGTTATGAGTAACATGCTGCCATTCTTGATTGCTAGAGCTTTTGTTATAGCACTTTAGATGCAACTGAAAATATGCTCTATTAAATGTGAAAAGCCTAATAAATTCTGTCTATCAGTAGTATAGGTCTCAATATTTATTGTGAGACCAATGGTCTGGAAACAGCTTGTATTAAATAATCAACTGGTGTCTATGCAAAAAAAACATTTTTTTTTTTACTATCTGCTTTAAATCACTACTTAATGGTGTCAGACTAACATATAAATTATTTCCTTGAAGAGGCTTTAAGGCAATTGTCCCAGTTGTTGAAGCACTGTCCTGGAGGACTGGATCTGTAAAAATTTGTCTTTTTATAGAAATACTGTGGTTACTCATCATAACTGTTAAATTATTTTTTTCCAACTAGTCTTTCATTTTTTTTTTAATCATCTTTTCATCACATTGTTTCTTGGGTGTCCTGCCCTGTTACTATCTTTCAACTTTGGCTGAGTGAAATATATTCAGATCTCTACTTTATAATGAGAAATGATAGAATAAGGAGTGGAAAATGGGATGGGAGTATGTGAGTATTGGTGATGGTCATGAAAGAAATTGGGAGAATTGCTTTTCCAGATATCTACCTATACTTAATTTTAAATGATTTAATCTTTTGCAAAGCACTCTGCATCTTAAAAGTAGTAGTAAAAAGTAGTGAGAGATTGAATTTAGAAAAACAAACATATGGACTTAGAAGTATTATTCAAAATAGTCTTTGTGGAAGATTCAATATGAATTCACAGATATTTAAGAAATTTGGAACATAGTAATTATTAAAAATACCAGAGAGTTCCTGGTCACTCTATTGAATTTTGTGTTTGACACTGTAAGAAAACAGTAACTTGAGAGTGAAATCTCAGATGTTTAAGTGAACAAGAGGTGTGACAGAAGGAAATAATCCCTAAAATTAATCCCTTTTTACAAAGGATTGTCTTCAATTTATGGAGTTTGTGGAAAATAAAGCAAGAATTCTCATGCTTATGAGGCCAAAGTAATCATTGGAAGAGAGAATTCACTGGATTATTCTTTTAGTAATTCAAACTACTGAAATAGAGAAGAGAAAAAAAACACGTTTAATTTGGAATCACGGTTTCTGGATCTGTTTATCATTAAATGCACACTGTATTTTTTTTTTTTTTTGTATAGTATTTGAAAACAATAAAAATTCTGTAATTTGGGTATGGGTTCTTTTGTATGTATTATGTGTCAAGGAAAGAGGTGAGTCCATTATTACAACTTCTCTCCAGACACTTCATATCCTAGATATGGAAAAACCCCCATTAAGTAGCAATATGGAATTAGTGTATCAAAACTGAAAAAGTTAAATGTTGACTATAAGTGACTGTTTGCTTGATGTATATAGAGGAGATGCTACATAAGGTCCTGTCAACATCATATGTGTTTCTTTATAGCTCTTAAGACTCCGATGAAAAATCAAATTTTTTTGCCCATAGCGAAGAAACATTTGACGATTAATTTGGGACTGTCCCATTGTAAGTGGATTAATTATAGAGACTGTGTTGGGTTAGAGTTAATATAAAATAGTATCACTTTTAAGTAAACCTGCATACCTTATACAGATAATTTCCATATTATTCAGACTCTGAAATCAAAATGAACCAAAATCAGAATGAGTGGAAAGAACTCTTAGTTTATAAGCCTTCAGAGGGCAGGGCCTGCATGTACCTATCACCAGCCAGGATTTCATACTTATATAAATGCTACTTGGTGACTAAATTTCTTGCCAACTCATATACAATTTTGATTACGGAGTAAGGTTGGTTGGTAGTGTGATTCTTTTAATTTGGTGGTCTTCCTTAGCATACAGTAAAAACCTAACACAATTTTGTTGTGGGAATATTTATAAGTGGGTATGATCTTTTGCTTTAACATTCTCCATGTCAACATGCTTTGGTCTTCCTGGTTTCTAGGATCAATTCTCTATTCTTATTTTCCACTTGGACTATTTTCTGATACTCTCTTCTTCCAACTCCTTAAATGTTACTGCCTGTCCCTATTGATCTTGCATACATGATCTCCTTAATGATCTTAGTCATTTCAGCCATAGAGATGAATATCTTTAGAGTAATACTACTATCTCCCCAGTGTATCACTAGTCCTATCCTTTTTTCTAGGTTTTTATGTAAGCTTTAAGATAGGAATTTCTAATCACTTCCTGGTCACCTCCACACAAACATTAATAGCCACTATTTATTAAGCTTTCAGTAAGTGTTGGGCATTTTGACTCATTTCTCTTAAGTCGTTGCTCAAGGTTGTGGCAGTGTAACCATTTTATAAATGAGATTAACAACCCTCACAGGTGGAGCCAGGACTTGAACTATATTCTGTTCACTTTCCTTGCCATCCACCATTACTAATATTTTTACAGAGTGTACTAACAATTTGCAAGCTACAGGGGAAAAAAAGAGGATTGTATTTTTAATAAAACAAGAAGGAAGGTGTAGTGCAAGGAGTAGAGCAGGATCAGAATCCCTAAGGTGCCATCAAGAACTGATGGTTACAGTTGGTGTTCGTATAGGCTAGGACAAAGTGTAGATATCTCCTTGTTGATTTGCCCAGTCCTTTACAGTTCCTCTCATTTCATACTTAAAATGTTCTACCCAAGGGAAAGAACTAAGCATAACTTGAAGTCAGTTGATACAAACTTTTATACATTAAAAACCTCAGGATTTGTCCCACAATGTCCACTGTCATAATCCTCAAGGAATTTATCATTTGGCTAAGGTAGGACATGAATGTATCTATTGAATTTTAGAGCTGGGACTTCAGTAATCCCATTTGTTCTGTAGCTATTGATTTAGTGAAATTTACAAAGCACTTAAAATTTAGCAGGGGGGCTAATGGCTTGGCTTTACAAGTGAGGAAGCCAAATCAACATTAAATTGGTTTGCCTGAGATCAGGATTACAGTCAACTAAAACTAAGGGGTTCATGAAGTCACTGGCCAATGCTCTTTACAAATTTACCACTTTTCCTGAAGGGAAGTATAAGAAGCAATAGCCACAGATAACAAGGCAAAAATGTCTCAGGTAAGACTTCATTAATGGTCAAATGAAATAGCTTAGGTGCCAAGAAAGAACACCCTGGAGTAGAATCTATCTTAAGCCCCCTACTGAATTTGTAACGATTACCCTACAGTTGGCTCGTAGTAATGTATGTGATTCATACAATTATGCACCATTCCAAGGTTAATGCACTTCTAGTTTTCTGTGTACTAACCATGCAATTGATGAGAACATCAGAAAGACACAAAATCTGTAGTCAGATACTATTAAAATAAGGGCTGTGGTCATACATAAAAATTCCTTCCATCAAAGTACTTGCAAATGAACTGTAAAGGGGCTTGCTGTGGATTAATATAAAACTGATAGAAGATCGATGGACAGCTTAGTTTGTGAACATTTTTAAAGTTAGGCTTGGTTTTGAAAGGGTAGGCAAATTCTCGGAATTAACATTGATGAGGAAAAGGGAGAAAATAGTGAGGGTGGGGGTCTCTGGTGGTGTCTTTTTAGGCACATTCCGAAATGTAATTACTTAGAAGGAACTGTAGCTATCTACAGGTGACAAAAACGTCTCAGATTAACTTTTGAACATCAGTGGACCGACCTGAGAAGAGGCGAAAAAAGAAACTTGGAGCCAGGATTTCACACACATTCATTGAACTCCACTGTGGGTCCGGTGTCAGGGATCCAACAGCAAGGAGTTTACAAATTCGGGAGAGCAGACGCAAAACAACATTAAAAGTAAACTATATAGCAATGTTAAGAATGCTAAATGGTACAAAGGAAACCCGGGGACTCCGATAGTGTGTTTGGGGTTCCAGTTCTAAATAAGGTAATCACGGAGAGCCTCATATTTGAGCAGAGACCCGAAAAACTTGCGGCCATCTGGGGTAAAAACCCAGGCGGGGGGCTAGCAGGTGTCGCATTACTAGAATTTGCGGCAGGACAAGGGCCAAGCGATGCTCCGAGGAACGAAATTCCTGCAAGTCAAAAACACTTTCCACGAAAAGCCTCGCAGATCGCTGCCTGTAGGGGACCGCTAGGCACCAACGACTTAATTCACCGATTTCAGCTCAACCATCTCTCCCTACCCCCGTCCCCTGCACCGACTACACCGCACTCCTGGGTCGCCAGCGCTCGGCAAGTGGGTGGGCCATCCGTTGCTCCGCCCCGTGGCCTGCGCGCTTGCGGAGAGGTCCAAGGTCAGAGGTTGCGGAGCCGTCATGGCGGCGCTGTGTCGGACCCGTGCCGTAACTGCCGAGAGCCACCTCCTGCGAGTGTTTCTCTTCTCTCGGCCCTGTCGAGGCGCGGGCACCGAGAGTAGCTCCGGGAGCGGGAGTTCCGACTCCACAGAGCCTAAAATGGGCCAAGGCGGCTTCGCGAGCGCTTTGGAGCGGCATTCGAAGCTGTGGCGGAAGGCGGAGCTCGGGCAGAAGACGGTGAGCGGCGGGAGCTCGCCAGAGACGCGGTGGACGGGGCTGGGGCTTGAGGGGTGCCCCGGCGTGGTGGGTGGAGTGGGAGTTGGGGCGGAGCCTGGCCTACGGGTGGGGCTAGGATCAGGGGTGTGTCTTGGCCTTGCCGCGGGCTAGTCCGCAGAGAGCTGGTGGTCGGTGTTTTTCTCCATTTGTTGCACTGCTGTGCGGCATTTACGTGCTGGACTTGCTTTGTCCGCACTCCTTTGCGCACACCTTCCTGGGTGAGTGCTGGACGGGAAACCAGCAGGGGGCGCTGCCAGCGAGGCGGTCTAGGGCGACTCCTGGGTCTCAGAGAGGAATTGGACTCTCCCACCGGGGAAGGCTGGGCGCTCTGCCGCCTACTTCTTTATAACACAGAAGTTCCAGCGTGGAGCTTGGTGTCTGGCGTGCAGCGCTTTTTAGAAATATTTGTTAATCCAGTGAATAGGTGAAAGAGAATTACTCTCTCTGAACTTGAGCAAGCGTTTAACCTGTCAGTGCTTCGCTTTCCTTTTCTGGAAATGACAAAAGTTTCACATGTCTCAGGCAACACTTTGTAAAATAGGATACAATAGATAAGTGAAATGGAACAGATAGACATAAATACGAGTCACTTTTTTTATTAGATTCAGCAGACATGAAATTGGATGTCTGGCAATGTTAAATTATATAAAAATAAACACTCTCAATTTCTGTGCTTATTTCTTTGGAGACCAGCCCCCAACAGTTCACAGACTGGTAGTGTCCTGGATTATAGAAAACTACCTGGAATTTAGTAATTGTTAATAGTTATTATTGACAAATTTTTCTAAAATCCAAGGATTAGAAGAAGCCTGCTGTATTAGATTTCTGTTTGCTCCCATAACAAGTTACCACAGATTTAGTGGTTTAAGACAACACAGATTTATTATTTTTAGTGCTGTAGGTGAGAAGTCGATTGATGTCTCACTGGGCTAAAATCAAGGTGTTGGAACGGTTTTGTTCCCCTCTGTATGTTCTGGGTGGGATCGGTTTCTTTGCCTTTCCAGCTTGTAGAGGATGCTTGCATTCCTTGACTTACTGCCCCTCCTTCTATCATTTTCAAAGCCCACAACAGTAGATTGAGTCCTTCTCACAGTTACTAGACTCTTGTGATTACTTTGGACTCACTCAGATAATGCAGGGTAATCTCCCTGTTTGAAGGTTAACTGATTAGCAACCTTAATTCCATCTGCAATTTGATTTTCCTTTGCTGTGGAAGGTAACATAATCACAAATTTCAGGGATTAGGATGTGGACATATTGCAGGGGGGGGGGGGAAGCATTTTTGTCTATCATACCTGGAGAAGTCATAAAGTCCTAAAAGGATGCCGGTGACTGACCTGAAACGGACTAATGGATGGATTTAAATCCATCCTTGGTGGATGGCTTTGAGGATTAAGTGCGGTAAAGTAGGGAAAGTATAAATATAATTCACATTTCCCTTCCCCAAAATATTTTTATAGGTAAGGGATTTCTTATTTCTCATCTTCCAGCATTTCTCACTTACACCCCTTCCTGCATGTCTTATCACCACATTCCAAACGCATTCAGAAACTACCAGCAAATAATTCTCATCTGCTGAGTTAATTGTGGCAAGTGTGAAATTATAACATCACAGGTAGAGTGTTTGAAACGCCATGTGGTGATCATACTTGGGGGTTTCACATGGTAAGCAATGTTTGTTTACTGAAGGAAACAACCAAGGTATTTGAGCCTGATCAGGATTCCATTGCCTTCCTTTCTCTTTGGTTTTTCCAAGAGGAGGCTGGAGTGTTTCTTGGAAGTCCCAGCACATCTATTAAAATTGTTCAGTCCAGCTCAGGCTGAAGAGAGTCTCTCTGAGCAGTTGTTCTCTGCCTAACACAGTTTAGAAAACATTATTCTACTAGATGGAGGTTAAATGTTTGATTCTGGGGTGCCTATGTGGTTCAGTCGGTTAAGTGTCCCGACTCTTGATCTCAGCTCAGGTCATGATCTCAGAGTGAGTTTGAGCCCCAAGCTGGGCTCCACGATGGGCGTGGAGCCTATTTTTAAAAAAATGTGGTTGTGACATGTGGTTCACATATTATTCAAAATTTTTCAATATTTCCGTTTAATGGAAGGAAGGAAAATTCCCTGGAGAGGAGGGTATCAGGAGGCTGGGTTGTAGTCTCCATTCTAAGAGCTCTTAGCTTCCGAACATTTCCAGGTATGTGGATCCCTTTACTCATTGATGCCACTGACTCCCTGATCTAGGTCATTATACACAGTGGACAGAGTTATCTTCCTAAAGTTGGCCTCTGTAATCAGACTGAATGAGGTGCTCTTTTTGCTTTGCTTGAGAATCTTGTAAGCCCTCCTTCCCACTGCCTACAAGATTAAATACACATCTCTCCATCATCAGCCTGCTGCCATTCAGGACCCAGTCCAGTGCAGAGATTATAGAGTTTAGGTTCCGTTTCAGAAGGCCAGGATTCAGAGACTGGTGCAGCGATCTTACTAGTTAACTTTGGGCAAGTTACTTAGCCTGTCTTAGTTGGCTTTCTTATCTCAAAGTGGGCATAATACTCTAACTGGGGTTATGGTGGAGTTTGCATGAAATAATACATTTGAAATGCTCTCAGTCCAGTGACTGCTGCAGAGTAAGCTTTAACTTAGTACATTTTAGCTTTGTGTGGCCTCAGCCATTTCTCCTCCAACCTCCTGCCTTCTGAGAATAGTTTCACAGAGAGAGATGCTTCCAGGGTTGCATAGTTCTTTGAATGAAATCCACTGCTTTCCTAAATAATTAATAATAATTAAACTTTAATTAAAAAAATATACACATGCCATTCTGTTTAATCCTAATTTAAGGTCATTTGTAATCATTAGTATGTTAGCTTGTGGTTTCAGAGAAACGTGTGCATACTTCAGAATAAAGCTTTTCCTGGCTTTTTTCCCCACTAGAATATAAATTTCAGAGGATAGAAACCTGGTTTGTCTTGTTCTGTTATATCCCCAGCACCTAGCACAGTGCTTGACGTAATAAATGGGCACTAATAAATGTTTGCCAAATGGGTGAATGAATGAATAGTACACATAGTGCATATTGGAACTTCATTATCCTGGGCTGTCTTTGTTTGTTTTCCTTCTAAATTTTTATTTAAATTCTAGTTAGTTAGCATGTTGCTTTCAGGAGTAGAATTTAGTGATTCATCACTTAAATCATAACAAGTGCCTTCCTTAATACCCATCACCCATTTTACCCATTCCCCACTCACCTCCCTATATCAACCCTCAGTTCTCTATTGTCAAGAGTCTGTTAGGATTTGCCTTCCCCTCTCTCCTCTTTTTTTCTTTCCTTCCCACATGTTCATCTGTTTTGTTGCCTAAATTCCACATATGAGTGAAATCATGGTATTTGTTTTTCTCTGACTGACTGACTTCGCTTAGCACAATACGCTCTGGCTCCATCCATGTCCTTGCAAATGGCAAGATTTCATTGTTTTTGAGTGCTGAGTAATATTCCATTGTATACATACACCACATCTTCTTTATCCATTCATCAGTCTATGGATTCGGGCTCTTTCAATGGCTTGGTTATCATTGATAATGCTGTTACAAACATCGAGGTGCATGTACCCCTTCCAATCTGTATTTTTGTATCCTTTGGGTAAAGACCTAGTAGTGCAATTGCTAGATCATAGGGTAGTTCTATTTTTAAGTTTTTGAGGGACCTCCGTTCTGTTTTCCAGAGTGGCTGCACCAGTTTGCATCCCCACTAACAGTGTAGGAGGGTTCCTTTTTCTCTACATCCTCGCCAACATTTGTTGTTTCCTGTGTTATTAATTTTGCTGTGTTGTCTTTGAGTTGAGATCTGTGTGTTATTGCTCAAAAACAGTTGTATAGCTAAGAATAGTAGGGGTTTCAGCATATCAGTTAGGTGTGCTTATCCAGAATAATAATTGAGCAAAACAATTTTAAGGGTGATGAAACTGAAAATACCACATTAGTTTTAATTTTAGTGCTATTGGGAGTTTTTAGTGCTTTTCTGACATATTTATGATGATGAATATGAGCAGTTGTGAGGTGTTGAAAGAGATTCAACTTTGTGAAGTTAGTGGGGATGCTCACTTTTTGAAGTTTCTGGATCCAGTTAATTGGAGAGTACCCTTAGTTTGCAAGATGAATCAAGTTCACTGTTGTCATATGGTCAAAATTTTTGAAAAAGTATAAAAATATTTGCTTACTTTAAAAAGGAAATTCAAATAGCATTGAAGATTATAATGGGAAAGGTAAAAGCCCCCCCTTTTCTTTTCCTTGCTTTCCAGGCTGGAGAATGTGTTTGTTTGATTTGGTTTTGGTTTTGGTTTGGTTTGGTTTGGTTTGGAGTTGTTACACAAAAGAAACTTTATGTGCAGCAAATAAGGAGATCATAGGGAATAACTTGAGAGTGTATTTTTTGTTGGTGGTAGTGGTGATGGTTATTTTTTGTTTTTTGAGAGAGAGAGAGAGAGAGAGAAAACAGGGGAGGGGTAAAGGGAGAGGGAGAGAGAATTTAAGCAGGCTTTGCCCAGTGCGGAGCCCAACATGGGGCAAGATCTCATGACCCAGAGATCATGACCTGAGCCAAAATCAAGAGTTGGACACTTAACTGACTGAGCCACCCAGGTGCCCCTAAAGATTTGATTTGTTTTGATATGATTTTTAAAGATTTTATTTATTTGAGACAGAGAAATGAGCAGAGGGAGGGGCAGAGGAAGGGGGAGAAGCAGACTCCCTGCTGAGCTCAGATCCTGCCATGGGGCTCTGTCCCAGGGTCCTGAGATCATGACCTGAGCCAAAGTCAGACACTTAACCAAATGAGCCACCCAGGCGTGCCTGAAAGATTTTATTTTTAAGTAATCTCTACACCCAAACACAAATTGGTTGGTACTGTTTTGAATTATATTATTACTGTTTAAGTGTGTAAGCTCTGGATTCAGATAGTCTCAGTTTGAATCCTG